GACGCCACCCTATCCTGCTCGATCTGTTATTCTTGCTCTAATCATGATAGCAGCGTGTTTCACAGAACTCATCACACAGCGTATCAGCCTTAAATGTATGCAGCATGCAGGCATAATGTTTATGAGCAAGGTGTGCAAATCAAAGTAAACGCCTGTACGGTGCATTCATCATTTATAAGACTAACTAGTATATAAGAACTACGATTCAACCAGATGTACAACGTTTAACATATAAAGACGCAGTCAGTGTACTCTGGTTGGTTCTATGATGCATTACCTAAAGCTACGTAGCTACCTCAAAATAGCTTCTGCTAAAAGTAACCTCCTGTATCTACTACCTTAGTGAGCAACTTAACGTTACCTTTGAATTACGAAGTAAAAGTGGATATCCTGAGAACTTTCTTGGCAAAAGATCATCTCCCAGTCGAAAAAGTTAAATATATCCTATTGTACACGAAAGCTTTTAGAGATATTTATCCTATTACCTCAAATGACTTACTATTTGCAGTCACTTAAAAAGTAAAAATAAATTTACCGAAGACAGTGTGCTTATGATTTCTAGATGTTGTAATTCCCATGAGGAAAGAACTATTTCCATAGGGTTATAACAGTTAGACGCGCGACATTAATCCGAAGCAAAGCGACTACAGTACTCAGTCACAGAGCATAGTACTTCACAATCTGTTCGTATAATCGTGTCAACAAATGTTTCGCCAAGAAAAAGAAGACCACCGGTTCAAAGGAAATTCATTTAAAGTTTTCCTAAAAGTCATGGACATCCTGTAGCTAAACTCATAAGGAAATTACAAACATCCGAAAAGTAAGAGTTTAATTATTTGAACTGAAACAAGCGGTTTGTATCCAGCCAATAATTTCACTCCGAATGATGATCAGCTTCTCACCACCAATTGTAGACCTCAATCCGAATCATCATTCTAGCTAATTAAAGTCTTACCATTATTTAGGATAATTCGTATACTCACCAGATCACTGTATGCTATCCGCTTTGTAAATCGTTTTGCAATATATTGAATGGCTGATAACGTTGGCTTTACTACAAGCAGTTCCAGTTCATGTATTTGGATCTAGTACATTAGGCATCACCATCAAAAGATAACACGTACCCCTTAGAAGTTTCTGAATGCTTTCCTGTTTCTTTTTGTTCCCGAAAATGCATACAAGCACAACAGATCCACACTTTACATATGACCCATTTACATTCTGTCACAACATATCGAGTGTTTGTTAACTGATAGTAAATTTTTTTATCCTTAAAGTTCCCCAGTGGAACATAGGGCTTCAAGCTAGTGGCTTGAAGTTTCTGTAACAGTGTTTAATTTTTACAGGATGAGGTTGCTAGCCTCATGACCAACCTTTCCTCTTCACCAGCATTATTTCTGGATCAGCGAGGTAAAGGATAGTAAATAAATAAATAAATTTATTCTCATAGTACAGTACATGAGGGACGCCAATTTACAGGCATCATCAAATTGTTACAGAAATAGAACCATATAATTCAATCACAATTTACAGGCAGTAGCAAGATATGCCTTACATGTTCGCTGGAGATTATACATACACTTGATAAATGTTAATCCCAGTAGTATAAAACAGCCTTTTCACTTATATACAATCATTTCTGTGCACAGCTGGAAAAATCTGCTAGATTGTCAGTGAGTGCAACACAACAGGAAATACAGAAGTATTGTCTTCGCATTAACAGAAAAAACCAGGTCTTTGGTGGATGGATTATAAGTGCCTGGGAAAAAAATAAAGCTTGAAGTCAATTTTCATACATAACTTCGTTGTGTGCAGAATCCTTGAATTATAGTTCATTGATGCGTTATTTTGAAATCACTGATATGTTTATCTCATTTGATCTGCAATGTCATTGTTGGGAGTAAATACATAAGCTTCAGACGCATTAATTAATGGGTTTCTACTGCTTGTGGGTATTTTCTTAGCGTGAGGAAGGTTTATGAATTCCAGCTGATCCGACAGGAGTTGAGAATATTAACCGCTCAGCAACATTATGGATATAAGTTCATCACATTATCTAAGGAAAGGTTGGGTTGCAGTTGGTGAGGGATATATGGTGCCCAACGAGCGTTCATCTGTCCATGTGATGTTGTGGTGAGTTATACCTTTTTCATGTTGTCGGTTTATGTCCATTTTATTACAATTATTGTGTTGGGTAGTAGTTCTACAAACGAGATTTCTTGTCTGTTTGAGAATACGTATCTTAACCGTTAATGTTTTATCTAGAATTATAAATATAGGCAAAAAACAACAGGTGTAGTATTTAAGCTTATAGATTAAATGGACCTATAATTTCGGAGGCTCTCAGATAGGAACTAGAACTACTATCGTTTGCAAACTCTTGTAGTTTGTCATTAAGCACCTTTTTGAAGGAGGCCAATGTACTTGCTTGACGCATTTCCATCGGTGGTTTATTCCGTATCTGTGCATACCTAATCAAGTATAACTTTTTCCTGGTGGCTGTTTTACATTGTTCGATAGCTACTGTACCCTTAGTGTGTCTTAGTTTGTAGCCATTGTCATCTGAAAGTCGAGTGCCATTAGTAGAGGTAAAAACTAAGTGGTTTAGAAGCTCATAGTAAAGTGTTAAGTTTAGTCTCAGGCGTCTTAGCCATAGTGTTTCTAGTCCTAGGGTATCACATCTAGCGGAGTAGTTCGCACAATTTTCGGTTCCGAGTAATTTTAACGTGAAGTACCTCTGCACTCCCTCGATTTTCAATTTGTCCTCTATGCGTATACTACTATACATGAATGAACAGTAATCAAATAAAGGACGCACACAAACCTTGTACAACAGAATTCTAGACTCATTTCTGTAGAAGTTCCTGAGTGGAAAGCCGATAAGTCTGCGTGACTTTGACACTTGTTTGGAGATATGTTCAGAAAATGATAAGTTATTTGAGTATTTCAGTATTTCAGCCCTAGGTCCAGTATAGATTCCAGTCGTTGAAGTGCATGGCCTTGAATTGTCAGGTCAAGTTCTAAATTGTTGCAACCTATGCAGAGCCAGCCACATTTTCCGACATTAAATTGGAGTTGCCATGTGTCACACCATCTATCCATTTTTTCTAATTCTTGCTGTATGGCGTTTACTGTTATTCCAAGATCTGTGTTCTTGCATAGTAGACACATTGATGTTATACTGACCCTCTCAAAAGGCTTCAAAGCTTTTTCAACTTCAACCCAGGTTCTAAATTATCTAGGTTCTTCAGAAACCTTGCTAACGTCAACTCTGATCGTACTCTTCTCACTAGAGTGACTCGTAGAATGTTGCATGCTATAAAAATGAACATGAAAGACATTGTTTTCCTCAGTTTTCTACACATTAAGTAACCAGTTGAGCCAGCAACAATAGTGGCAACCAACAAACGAACTGGAAACAATAGTCTTCGCCGCCTTAACATGTTCATGTGCATAATTTCCAAAACTTCGGCACTATACTATTTCAGTAACAGCTAAAAACAACTAAAACACTGCAACCACTCATGAATACAACATATGAAACCATTATAATGAAATGAATAATCTGACGTGGTGACAAAAACTTTCTAAACAAACGAAACAACCAATTTTAACAGCAACGGGGACAAAAATGAAATGAAACGTAACATTTGTGAACAGTGTGCATCAAAACAAGATGTGAACAGCTGCAGGATAAACGTAAAAGCCAATGTGTAGGCGGACGGTTAGGTAAAGGTAATCCAACATGGCCGGCCGACATGGACGAAGGTGACCGGTGACTCTATCCTCTAGCAGCCTAAAACGAAACTACCTCTAGCAACTAATCACATTCGTTAGAAGTAGAAATGCGCAATTTGAAATAAACGTCTATATACAAGCTATACAATGTTAAGAAATGGTTACATAGGATAATATTCTTGTATACGTTCCAGAACAATTTTCTAGTTTCTCACAGAAGTCTTGACAGTCAGGTTAAACCAATTCTAGTAAATATGTTTGTCAAGGTGTGGTTGGAAGGAGTGGTTGGTCTCCGAAATAAACCATATGACGAAAGGCTGAAGAAATTAGGCCTATTCACACTCAGTTACCGTCGCCTGAGGGGGGATTTAATTACTGCCTACAAAATAACAAATGATCAGAATCACCCGAACAAAGGTGTTCTGCCATTGAGTAGGTATAGGCTCCCTCGTGGAAATCCCAGAAGGATAGCTCATCAGAGGGCAAGGACCCGGGTGCGCTCCCACTTCTTTTCCCTGCGGGTTTGCCGTCCCTGGAATTCCTTACCGGCAGATGTAGCTATGGCACCATCTGTGGACGCCTTTAAGCGAAGGCTGGACAACCTTGCAGTGACACAAGGACTGTATCCAAATGGCCTATCCCCTTAAAATCGCATATACCATTCAAAGATAGACAATTAAACTGGTCGTTTTACTTCTTCACATTCCCTTCAGTCTTACTCTCCTGACAGCTTTAACTACACTTATTATTATTATTATCATTATTACTGGTATATATTATATATATATATGTGTACCGGTTGACTGACTGTTGTTACGTTTTCTTATTTTTTCTCTGTCTGTTAGTCTGAATACCTTTACTAATTATATCTATTATTATTATTATTATCTCTTTTCCATTGACGACGATACCGAAAGACTAACTGGTGAAAGGATCAACTCCATTCACAGTAGTAACAGTCTTAACACACTTCATACTACAGACGCCATATAATTAATCCCAGCACTACTCCTGTTGGAGTCAACCAAAGCTACGACAGTCGAGTGGCGGGACGAGCTACACAGACGTTTACCAAAGATCAGGAACCTCTACCTTACAATCAAGAGGCGAGCGCAAAGAAATCAAATTGGTTTATACTAGCTCGTAAAAAGATATTGGATATTGGAAGGTTATCAATTCGTTCATTAGGTAGTTTCGTTTTGGACTGCTATAGTTTAGAGTCACCAAGTGACCTTCAGGTGTCTAACTCTTACAATGACCTTTGACGTGCTGGATAATTTTAGTCTTTCTATGGATTACGCTAGTTCATGAAAACTCATTGAAATTGTTTCAAAAGTTGTCTCAATTTTGAAATGTTAAGGTCATTCTCAAGGCCACCCACGTAGGTGCTCATAATGATCCTTTAGGTTCTTGGCAGTTCGTTATTGCTCTAGTCTTTTCAACAATAAAAGTCCTGGATATTGGGGATGAAGTCTAAGTGAGTTATACATCAAAAGATGGGATATTACCTTTTTTTTGAGTAGCCGCACGTGTTAACGACTCCTGGTAAAACTTTGTGGTTAATTTAGATAAATTTGTCCAGCTCGTTCTTTAAATTCATGATATGTTTCAATTTAAAAGGACCTTGAGGATTGATGACTTGTGACATTATATGACATTTCCCCCAAAGCAAAACTTTGTCACTCATGTATGGTCTTCTGCACAATAATACGCATTATACGAATCAAGAAAATTTCCGAAATATTGGTGAAAATCTTCAGGGAAACTATGTGACATTTGGAATTTTGAAGAATAATGAATTACTACGAAGTTCCTACATTATTTTGCCTCCTTTATTTGGGGACGAAGTTTCCAACTGGTGCGACATATTTGTTGCTCTTACTTTCCAGGTTATCGTTGACCTAGACGAGACTGGTGTAGAACGGTGAGTTCCAGGAAACCACAGGAGTGATCAGTTTTCCTGAGATAGAATATGCCTGAACTGTTGGTACTTATACACTAGTGTATGTATCTATTAACATATTTTCCTTCATAAGTAACAACTTATGTAAATTTCTATTATTTGCAAAGTGTATATTAGTTGGGAATGCAAAGCGATTTCACTTTGTATCTCTGAGGTATACGGAGAAAAGAGCTATATTGAAGGAAATACATTTATGTGTGCATGTTCATGCAAGCTAATTTCTCTTAAAATGAAGTAAAGTATTTGTGTTTAGATAAGTTCCATCTGGATTTCACAACAGAAAATTGACATATTACCCAGTCGGGGAATTTTTGTCGGACATGAGAAGTGTTCGATTGTTGGCAGTGGAAAAAAGGGTATCGATACGAGAAAATTTTGACGGTTTGACACTCGACCGAAGCCTAACCTTATTATACCACCTAACATGGGAGATAGGATGCAGACAGCTATGATCAAGGGCAGATAGCCAGGCTTTTCACGTTTTCCACTTTCAATGGCTATATTCCACTCGCAATCATAAAGGAGGACGGAGCGAACTGCTCCTGAGCAGTATACACACCCTTTAGTCGATAACCAACCAGCCGCATATCACGTCACCTAAGCCAGAGATGGTGTGAGTTGGCACGTGCCAAACGATCCCTCTGTATCCGTGCTGTGATTTCGTTAGCGATCAACCCGCTGGCGTTGGTTGATGCAACATCCCAAGTAAGTGAATCAGCGAACACGCTCTACCACTTCGCCCCTGCTTTCGCTCCTCATCATATTCTGAGCTTGCCGGAACCAGTCTTCTTGAGTTAATCATTTCGGATGAGATAGTAGAAATCCATTGGCTGTTACTAAATTTTAGTTTTATTATATTAACAGCCTTTAAAGCTGTGTCCACAGCTAACTGTATGTTTTACCAGGGTGCCTCAGGAGGAGTCTTGCTGTAGACCTCAGATACTCGTTTCTCTGTTTCTTCCTTAAATAGGGATTTAGTGTTTTGATCTAGCTGGGGGCTTAACTGCTTCGTTGCCAACGGTATTTTATGTCCGTTTAATCTTAAGCATTAACGTGCTCAACCCATGGTGTGATCCGAGTCTATGCACATGTTCCAGAAGGAGCGGCAGTCTTCTACTGACCCTCACCAACGATACCCTAACGCCATCTGGTATATTTAAGTCCAGCATTGATTTGGTGATGGAGGTCGCCAGTTTAGGCAATGTCTCTCCTTGTGCCTAAAGTTAGTGCTGACTAGGAACAGATGATTATCTCAGCAAAACTGTAGAAGACGATCACCGTTGTCGGTTCGTCGGCAGGAAACTCCATACGTAGCACCTACATACTTCTCAGTCTGGCACAACTTCCCTACTTGGGCATTGAAGTCGCCTGCTGAAACAACTATATCTGAACGTTTTGCTTTTTGCAGCAAATTACACAGTTTCAGGTAGAAGTCATCTTTTAATTCATCCGAACTGCAGTCTGTTGGGGCGTAAGCGGAGACTGCGAAAAGGCAACGACGGCGAAAGAGTTCAATTCTACTCTTGTTTGCCGAAGCAATCGCTATCAAACGCCAGAAATCCGGTTTATGTGTTAAGAAGGCAGTAGTTATCAGTCTTTCCTTGCCCATCCTCGTAACTGAATGTCTTTATTGTCTCTTTCAGTTGATTACCTAATCATTGACTTAATCAATTTATTTGGCTCGAGATGCCAGAGTATTGACTAGTGATGCCTGTTGACCAATTTGGCAACGAGTCCTCACGTTAAGTGCTCCGATATGAAGTTGGCGGCATGGGTTTAAGGGACTATCGTAGGTGTTTTCCTAGCTCCCATCGCTATTTGTGGTCACAGCTAGTTCCAGAAATATCGACTGTCTGATTACTGTGTGAACAATGGTAGATGTGGTAGATTAGATTAGAGAATAAGATATGAAAACGGATATCTGAACATCATATTTCATAGTTATCTCTTCAACAACCTTGCGACTTTTATGGCTCCTCAGTTGTAATTAGTTGTTCAAGGTGAGTGGTAAGGTCTTTCGGGTTAGCTGATACAGTTTAACTTCGTCATAAGCCAATCCTTGGTGTGCACCAGACCTTAAGCAAATCTGCTAGAGGTGACATGATGTGACGAATTTACCCTTTCGTAATTTTACGAGGTAGAAGTGCTTTTATATCCCCCCAAAAACTCCCCCGGGTCTTGTCAAGATCCACATCATGCTACAGCAATGAAAAAGGCGCAAACAATGCTGTTAAATACCATTGAACAGAGATTTACAAATCCGTGCCCCCCCTCTCCCCATGTAACTGGTAGGTGGTGGTAGTTGGGGTTCGGTGACGAATTGCCTGTTGCCTTATATCAATATTATTATGCCAGTCCATTGTTTGTCAACTGTTTGATAGGTTTTGTTTTAAAAATTTCACTGTATACTATTGAAAAATTATTAGCGCAAAAATTTTCTGTGATATTCTTATCTATTAGGGGTTTCAAAATAATGACACATTTGTTGAGAAGATTTTGACTTGTTTGTACACATGGCCAAGCATGGATCAACAACAAATGATCGATTCATTGAAAAGTAAAATAGACGAAATTGAACTTTTGCTGTCAATGTTTTCAGAAAATGAGATTAAATTAGGAGATAAAGAAACCTATCAAAATATCAAGTATCATGCTGAATTGAATGTTCTCCCTGAAAAAACAGATATAGATTTTGTAATTAATGTAAGTTTTAGAGTTATATTATCTCTTAAATTTATATGTCTTATATATATTTTTACTGATATGAATATTGCTTGGTAAGGCTTTTGGGGGTTTGTATGCAACAAAACTCATGTTTCATAGTTTCTTTACATTGAACTTCTTTTATCCAGCCACTCTCAACTTAATGAACATCCAACACCCCCGTGAATGGGATATAGACACAGGTCCTCCGTCCCTAACTGAGGTTACAAAATCTGTCTCTAATCTAAAACGAGGCAAAGCAACGGGAGCTGATGGAATGACTCCAGTGGTGTTTAAGGACGGTGGGGAGAGTTTACTGTCTGTGTTAACTAAGGTACTAGGCAGCGTCTGGGAATCAGAAATAGTCCCGTCGGGCTAGTGTAAGTCGCTGATTATCCCTATATAAAAGAAGGGAGACAAGTCTTCCTGTGATAATCACAGGGGGATTAACTTGACTAATATGGTATCTAAAGTTCTAGGCTCAGTAATACTGCGTAGACTAAGTGGTGCTCGGGAGGCACAAACACGACGGAACCAGGCAGGCTTAAGACCAGGAAGAGGGTGCATTGATCATATCTTCATCAGATTCTGGAACACGGGCATACTTACCGGCGTCTAACAATCGTTGTATTTCTTGACCTAAAGGCGGAATTCGATTTTGTCGACCGAGAGGTACTCTGGCGATGTTTGGCTGTAAAAAGAATGCCGAGAAAATATGTTGCACTGATCAGTACACTTTGCTCGAAATCATGCAGCCAGGTGAGAGCTTATGGCGAGTTGTCATATGAAGTGGTGACAGCCAGTAGTCTCCGACAGGGATGCCCACTGTCCCCATTTCTATTCAATTTCATCATAGATGTACCAATGCACTTAACCCTAAGTGAATTCAGCGACTCAGAGATTGACTTGTTATCAGAGAATAATCTCGTTGACTTATAATATGCAGATTATATAGTCCTCTCTCCTAGGTGAAGACTCTGACAAAGTGCAGTCTTTTGAACAACTTGAGGAGCAGGAGTCTTCGAATGTTTGGCATGCAGTTCTCTCCTATCTAATGTAAGATGATGCTACAGAACTGGACTGGACTTCATTGACTCCTAGCTTAGTTATAGGGAGTGAAGTGGTAGAGCGTGTTGACCAATTCACTTATTTGGGAAGTTGCATCAGCCTCAATGGGTTGATTGCTGATGAAATCACAGCACGGATACAGAAGGCTCGTTCGGCATTTGCCAACTTACACCATATCAGGCTTAGTTGACGTGATATCCGCCTGGCTTTCAACCAAAGGGCGTGTATACTGCTCAGCAGCAGTTCGCTCCTTCCTCCTTTATGGCTGTGAGACCTGGCCATTGAGACTGGAAGACATGAAAAGGTCGGCTAGTTGTCTTTGATAATAGATGTCTGCGTTCTATCTCCTGTGTTCGGTGGTAGGTGTAATAGGGTAGGTAATATTGAGGTTAGGCGTTGAGCTTTAGGTAAAGAGGCAAATCAATAGACGAGACTGTGAAGTTACATCGATTAAGATGGTTAGGACATGTGTTATGCATACCTAGCCATCGCTTTCCTCGACGGGCAATGTTAGCCGACTGACATAGGATCGGGTTGGAAAAGAGTTAGCTAGTGGTGGTCAGACCAAAACATGTCACCAGTCAATAAAATCCACAACAGCTATTTTAAGCCACGTAGGAAGATGTAGACTTCCTGTTTGAGGTACTCAGAGCGGTGGACACCGATGTCTGAAGACAATTGGTGGTAGGGCTAAAAATCATTCTCAATGGCTGGCGCAGGTGCATGCACTACTTGTGACTTAT